CAGGGGGCTGCAACACCCCTCGTCCCCACCCCCAGGGCTCCGGATGGCGAGCTCCGGTGAAAACCCCCGGGTCCCTTCTGCTGCATTCTCACGCGCCCGGGTTAGCCTCGGCTAATTCCACCAGGACTCGACTGCGGGTGGCCGTGCCGGACCCCAGGAAAGAGCTGACGGCAGGGCAGCACCCCCAACCCACGGCCTGGCTCAGGGAGACCCCCGCGGGGGCCTTGTGCACTGTGAGATCCAGGGGGCTCTGCGCCTGCCCGGGGGACACCCCGGATCCCCCTCCCCAAGATGCAGTGGGGGAGGCGGTGCTCCCCCGCCCCCCGGGAGCCCTGGACAGGAAGAAGGCGAGTGCAGAAGGTTCAGCACAGGGAGTTCCCCCCCACCCGCTCTTTGAACCCTCCCTCCCTGAACTCAGTGACCCAGGAGCCGAGAAATGCAAGATGCAGAGCGGCTGCTGGGCTGGAAGGGGGCCTTGCACTGTGCTGTCCGCAGGAATCTGGCCACAGGAAGGGCAGGGTGAGCGTGTGAGCGTCACTCGAGCACCCACAGCCCGGCTCCTGTTCCTGGAACCCGTACTCCTTCTCCGGCTGGGGGGCTGGGGGGCTGGGGGCTTGAGGGCTTGGCATCACAGCCGGCCTTGGCCCTTCACAAGCCGTGGCTCAAGCCTGCCCTCCCCTCCTGCTCCTACCTGCCGACCCCAGAGCACAGGGCGGGCTGGCCGCCTGGGGGTCAGTCTCCTTCCTCCTGTGGAATGGGGGTGCTGGCAGGGGACTGACGGGCAGGCCAAGCCGGAGCCCGCAAGGGGAATCCAGGCTCCTATTAAGCCAGCATCCATTTCTCCGGCCTGCTGAGATGCTTGAGTGCTGATCAGGCTGTGCGGTCGGTCGGCACAAGTCCCCAAGCCAAGTTAGTTCAAAATCTAGTGGCTGCATTTGTGTCAGGCGCTAAAGTTGGCAAGTCTCCACCCCGAAGCTTTCCTCTTCAGCAAACCCAGTGTGTTTGGTCTGTTTACAGTCCAAGATAATCTGCGGCCCCAGAAAGAGGGCTAACCATTCACGAACGCAGAATGGGGTATGCCTAGGTAAAATCCATGCCCAGCCCTTCCAATTTTCACAGCAGCAGCTGCTGGGAACCTCACAAGCAAAGCTGAAAACTCTCCCTCCCCTCCGATCCACTTGCCGGTTGTCCCCCCAGCACCGGTGGCCGGGCAACGCTGCCCAGCCTTTCCTTTAACGCCCGACTAACTTAGCATATCCTGAGGTGGGTGTCCCGTGAGAGGAACGTCCTAGAGGGACAAAGTCTGCTGTGAATCTTCAGCCCCAAACAATGATCCAGCCCATTGGGGGTCCCCTCTCGGCCTCCTCTACGCCACCCTCTCTTCGCCTATGCCTCTTCTTAAGCCTCGGCGACCCCAAACGCGGCAGATGCTTGCAGGGAAAATGCTGGAACTATTTGCTTGCCAGAGAGGTGAATCTTGCCCATTGTTTACACGCACACAAAACCCCACTGTTCTTTGTTTTTACGGCTCCCTTTGCCAAGCAACAGACCTCTAACGGGCCCGCTTTAATTCCTAGGGACATCAGCGGGCAGGGATTTCCGGTTGAAATTCGGTCACAATGTGGATAGCATCTCCCCCTTCTGGTAAGTCGGCAGCACAGCCGAGCCCCTCTCCCCCCCCCCCCCCCCCCCCCCCCCCC